CACGTATATATGGTGTGTGTATAAAATATATGGTGTATATATGGTATATATACCATGGTGTGTGGGTGTGTTTGTGTAATGGAATATCACTCAGCCATAGAAGAGAATGAGATCTTGCCATTTGCAACAAAATGGACGGACCTAGAGGTTATAATGCAAAGTGAAATAGTCAGAAAAAGACAAATATCATATTATTTCACTCATAGGTGGAATTTAAGAAACAAAACAAATGACTAGAGGAAAAAAAGAGACAGACAAAGAAAAAGAAAGAAAGAAATGAAAAGAAAGAAAGAAAGGGAAAGAAAGAAAGAAAGAAAGAAAGAAAGAAAGAAAGAAAGAAAGAAAACAGACTCTTAAATAAAGAGGACAAATTGGTGGTTACCAGAGAGGAGATGGGTGGAGGGATAGGTGAAATGGATCAAGGGCATTAAGAGTTCACTTATCGTGATGAGAACTGAGTAATGTACAGCATGGTTGGATCATTATATTGTACACATGAATCTAATATAATGCTGTATTTTAATTATGCTTCAATTTGAAGCACCACCACCACGAACAATTTTCTAACTTACAATTCTTTTTTTTTTTTTTTAAAGATTTTATTTATTTATTTGACAGAGAGAGACACAGCGAGAGAGGGAACACAAGCAGGGGGAGTGGGAGAGCGAAAAGCAGGCTTCCTGTGGAGCAAGGAGCCCGATGCGGGGCTCGATCCCAGGACGCTGGGATCATGACCTGAGCTGAAGGCAGACGCTTAACTGACTGAGCCACCCAGGCGCCCCTCTAACTTACAATTCTACCTCTGGAAGGTTCATTTGTTCTCTGTCATGAAAAACCACATCTCCTAAAAATCACAGACTGTCATTACAGTACTTTCATCGGATCTTTTAGAGAAGGAAGCATCAATCTGCAGCCTCAACAGCTTCTCTGAAGTACACGCCCTCATTGCTGTCTGTGGAACCACTCTACAGTTCAATTTCTGAACTGACCTGTGTCCTGGACATCCCCCTCAAAAGTAGAAGAGGCAAATCTGTGGCAAATCTTCAGGTAAAATATTTGAAAAACTTCAGAATCGTTAGTCCACCCTGTGGAGCCACAGCCCATGAGAACGTTTGAGCTCACAGTCTTTCGTCCCCTTTCACATGAACAGTGTATCTGGAGATGGGAAAGGTGATGGAGTGACTAGATGCCTAAAGGTAATCAGACCGGTAGGGTGTGTCTGAGACTTCTCACAGGAAGTGAATGCTTAAACTGAGATTGGAGGCTAAGGAGGCAAAGGAGGCATTAGCCTGCTGAATAGGAGAGGGTGGAGACTAACCAGACATAGCAGGAAGGAAATACCTTATAACCTGGCCCATCCCTTGGGAAACCCAGTGTGGAAATCCCTTACACAGCAGTTTGGCATGCTGAGAAAAACTTTGTAATACTTAACAAGACAACTGTAGAAAGTTCCTGAACCCTTTCTGCCCTCTCTGCTCCCACCTCAGGCCTATAATCTCCACCAGCCCTCTAAGAGGTGTGTGATGTTATTACTATGATTTCTCTCTGTGAAACCACAAAGAAGAAGAAACTCGTTAGGTAAAGCAGTTTGAGCATGATCTTAATTTACGTGCCGTTTCACCACTCGCAGTGCAAAATTTAACTTGCAATCGATTCTTCTCTCCTTTTCCCAGGTAATATTTTTCACTGGAGAAAATTCAGGAATTGGGGGTCCGTGCCATCTGATGAACATATCTAGAATGGCAGCTTAGACATCACTTAGCAGGGAACCCTGGAAGGAGGAAGGGAGTAAGGTCCCAATCAGAGGGAAACTTCTGGAAGATTTTGTGGAAAATGAAGCATTAAGGGTGAGTCAGAGCCCATGTACATGAAATCCAGTAGCAAGAACTTTTCTTCAGCCCCTCCCTCCCAACTATAACAGGAAACCGATAGGTGTGTGATTGAGAGACAAAAATAATGTGGAAAGAATATATAGATTTAGATATATACAGTTAAGCTACACACAAACATATGATTTTTGTAATGAAATTTCCAACCAGGTATATACTACAATGCTATAAAATCTTATATCCGTTATTTTTTTGGATTTCAAGTTAATGTATTTATTTCAAAATCAAATGCAGTGTAGGAATGTGTATTTATTAGAAAAAATATTTTTGTATGTATTTTTTATCTTGTTACACAGCAAGATGTATTTCCTTGGGAATTTTGTTTATATTCCCCAGATATACTTCCCTGTGCACAGTAATATATAAGTACATTTACACGAACACATATATTCTTCCAAATTTTGTTCACAATATGTATATACTATTCTCCATATGTTTTATATATACATATATGTTTATGTATATACATATATGGAAATATATGCGCACACAAACATACATACATGTGTAATTGTTTTGTACATGTTTAATCTTATAAGTTTGTAATGTATAGTTCTTTTTTTTTTAATTTTTTTT